CCCCAAAACCCCAAAACCCCAAAACCCCAAAACCCCAAAACCCCTAATCCATTCGGAATAATTGCTTTAATTTAAAGTATGCCTAAAACCCTAACTTGTTCTGCCTTCTCTTCTAAGCAGTCACCCCTGAAGGCTTGAGTTGTTTCTCGTTCATCATAATAGTCTCAGATAGCTTCTCTTGTACCTCGTTGGGCTTCCTTGTAAATAAGGAGCCAAAATAGCCAAAAAGTCTTGAGGAGTAATTCATTGCCAATAAGATCAATAGCAGAGACATCGAGAAATGGCTGAGGATATCAGTTCAGATCCTAAAGCCAAAATATGAGTTCAGATGTGCTCCTAACATTGGTCCAATGATACTACCTAACCCAAAAGCCGAATTGTATAAGCTTGATGCTGTATTGATGTAGTTTTGGGTGTTCTTACTAAACCTCGCCTTTATTTCAGTCATTATGATAGGCATTAAAGGGATAACAGAAAATGAAGCCGAAAATCCAAGCAGAGAAATTCCGGAAAGCATCACCCAGATGTTCTCTTGAAGCCCCCAATAATAGGAGGGACCGATAAGAAGGAAGGCCACTCCCATAAGGAACTTTCCAATTCATAAAATTACATGGGAATCTACTCTCTGCATTACTTTAACCACAATTATAGCAGATACTATTGGGAATGTAAATGGGAGTGCGAAAAACAGGCCATATAATTTCTTGTCTATGTTCAGCTCAGAAAGTCTCTTCGATAGGATCGCAGGTGCGAAGTTGAGTAATACCATATCGACGATAGACAACACCAGTCACTTGAGGATAACCTAGAGAAAAGTTAGAGACTATTGTTAGATCGTCACAATGCGAACATCATGACGTATTAATTTCCAAATATTTCCCATTCTCTTTTGAAGCATTTTGATAGATAGATATAACCAAGTGTTACATACCTTATTTCATAAAAGATTCCAGACGAGCTTAAAAGGATTAATTCTGTTACTTTTTATTATTGTTATTTCACAATCCTCCTCTGAGCTTGTAGACAGAGTTTCAGAGCCTGATGAATTATTGGATTCGCCCATTTCAATATCCTTATCACTACTCTTCTGTAACTTGGATATTTCCTCTTCATTCTCAATTGGCTTGGATGGAATTATTCGAGCTACGAATGGAATACTCATTAACATGATAGTGCTGTACACTACAAAAGGAAGAAAGTATCCACCGATGATGTACAATACGGTTCCAATCAGTAGTCCTAGTAATAGTCCTCCTCCTAAACAACAAGTTAATTATGTTTTAGCTTTAAGCATTAACATTTTGGGGAAACACTTACCAATAGTTCCCTTAAAAACAGAGTTAACCTTCATGAAGTCTCCTCCTTCGTATTGAGTCGAGAAGATAGAATATGTAGTTGTGTATAAGGCTGCATTGCTTGATCCCTGCAGAATTCTAAAGACTAGGCCAAGATAGATCATCAAATTTCTAAATTTATTCGTAATTTTGTCACGTACCTTTCCATGAAAACAATCGATCCGAATCCAGCTACTGATCCTGCCTAAAGAAATTAGTCAATATCCCTTAAGAGACGAAGAGACTTACGTAAATAATAGCACTGAGCACAAAAACTACTCTTTGGTTAACAAAATGCAGAATCGTAGGCATGACCAAAGACACTATAACAAAGGCAGAAGGATATGCACTGAATATATACCCAATAGTCTTCATGTCAACACCTTTCTTCTCAGCTTCTGGAGGGAAGAAGGGACCTACAATAGCAATGGCGGCATTCAGGAGGACGCTGACGCCCATCAGAGTGGAAACAACGGTGTTGATCTTCATCTTTTTATTAATCCTAATACTAACTAGAATATATTCCAAAAGCTAGCGGACATAAGGGGTTTTGGGGTTTTGGGGTTTTGGGGTTTTGGGG